ATTTCTGAGTTGTATCAAAAGCAAGCAATATCTCACTGATAATTAGCAATTTGAATGGTTTCCTGCTTTTCCTGTTTATCACTCATTTTCTGCTATTTGTACACTTTTATCCAAGTTTTTGTTTTCTTTCTATTGATTCAGATCTTTATAAATTAAGCATATTAACCCTTTTTCTGTAATTTATTCCCCTCCCTCCCCATTTATGGATCTTGTCATGTGTTTTTCTTTTCTTTTTTTTTTTGATTTTATTTATTTATTTATTTATTTATTAGAGAGAGAGAGAGCACAAGCAGGGGGAGGGGCAGGTGGAGGGAGAAGGAGGCTCCCCACTGAGCAAGGAGCCCAATGTGGGGCTCAATCCCAGGACCCTGGGATCATGACCCGAGCCAAAGGCAGACATTTAACTGACTGAGCCACCCAGGCATCCCAGTAGTGTTTTTCTTAAAGATTTATTTTATTTATTTGAGAGAGAGAGAGAGAGAGCCTGTTGGGGGGAGGAGCAAGTGAGCAGGAGGAGAGGAGACTCCCTGCTGAGTGGGGAGACTGACGTGGGGCTCAATCCCATGTCCCCATGCCCCAGAGACCATGACCTGAGCCCAAATCAACAGGGGGTCACTCAACCACCTGAGGCACCCAGGTGTTCCTATTTATTTATTTATTTGAGAGAGAGAGTGTTATGTGTGCATGCTAGTGTGCACCCCAGTGGGGGGGGAGGGGGGAGGGGGGTGGGAGCCTGACAAAGATGGGTGAGAACACTGGCTGATTTGCCCCTTCTGCAGCCCATCCAGGGCTATAGAGGCCCCCTGGGGCCTGGAGTTCAGAAGTGCCCCCTTGCTCCTCTCCTTCCTCAGTGGTCTCACACATAATCACACCGGCTGCAAAAGTCCTGGAAGATATTTGGGGAGGGGAGTCAGTCAAGCCCTCTCCCTCCTTGGCTCTGAGCTGGTTGAGAAATAGAAGCTGGAGTCGGAAAGGGGAGAAGAGAAGCACTTTATTTCTGGCAAGCCTGGGTTGGGGACTGGGCTTCCCCTCCCTCTTATCCCTCCACCAGGCCCTGGGCCCAAGTCCATACAGAGAGAAGCCCCTCTTGCCATGTGAGGGGAATGGCAGCAAGCATCAGGACACAGAAGCTTCCTCCCTGGTGGGCCCAGGGTGCCAGAACCAGCCAGGCAGGGCAGCCTGGAAGGCAGGAGGTAGGCAAGGAAGGCTTCCTGGAGAAGGCACGGGGACGCCAGGAGGCTGATGGCTGCAGGGAGCTGCCTGTGTGACCTCACTGGGTCAGGCGGTCCTCTTTGAGCTGCGCCTGGGCAGAGGGAGGCCTGGCAGGGGGGGGCCTGCCGGGCTCACTGGTACTCGTTGGGGGTGGACATCCTGTTTTGGCCTCTATAGGACATGTCCTCGTACACTACACATGCTGAGTTCTTATCCTCCAAGCAGCACAGTTTCTTGACCTGAAAGATAAAGCCTATCCTCTTTGTACAGGGTCCAGCTCGTTCTGGGGCACGCTCTTTCTTCAATGCATACCCCCTTAGGAAGCTTTTTGATTCCACCCTTGAAATGCTGCTGGGCCTCAGGGCCCACATGAAGTCAGTTCACAAGCGGCCTTGGGCAGCCCCGAGGTTTCCCGAGCTGCCCCAGGCTGGGGGTGGGTAGGGGGGGTAGGATGGGCGTGGGAACAGAGCCTGGGGGGGCAGTGGCAGGGAGGTGAAGTATGAAAGGGACCTTGCCCTAGGGACCTGGGGGGGTGGGCTGTCTCAAGGTGATGTGGAGCTGGGCAAAGGCAAGTGAGTGACCAGGGCAGAGCTGACCACTTCCTGGCACCTGTCTCTGTCACCCCCCCGCCCAGTGCATGTTCACACCTGCTCACACCAATCTCACACCTACAACTCACACGTACATGTGCACACGATGCTCACAGATGCGCACACAGGCTCACACACATGCCTCCCCAGCTCTGAACATCTCCCTAGACCCTCGGCTCGCCCCTCAATGTCTGTCATCCCCCTGGGCTCATGCCCGTCCCTGCTCATGGCTCCAGTTCCTGGGTTTCCCTCCCACCTTGGACCCTGCCATCTGAACCCTCAGAACTCCCAGGGGCCCTGATGAGGGGATGGGTGTGTCCCGGGGTTTCTCTGGGGCTTAACCCTCCCCTTCCCTCCCTGCTTTCTTAGAGGAGCTGGCTTATAGGGACACAGATGGGATCTGGGGGTCCACACTGACCTGTGTCTTCTTCAGCACACACACTGCCCCTATCCCCAGCCCGAGGAAGAAGAAGCTCATCGCCAGGACCACAGGGAGGGCAGAGATCAGCTGAGCCTTCTGGCACATGTCTGCTTCCTGGGGCACTTTGTCTGTGAAGAGGAGTGGAGAGTCACGTGGCAGGTGGTGGATTCCATGAGAGCCTTCGGGGTTCACAGAGGGGCTCTGGAGTGGGGGAATGGGCAATCCAGGGGGCTTCCTGGAGGCAGTGGGCTCGAGCTGGAATGAACAACTTAAGCAAGGGTAGAGGACACGTCGGGGCAGACAAGGGCAGGTGGAGCCGCCTGCCCAGCAGGTAGGTGGAGTGGGTTCCAGGGTAGGCATGTTCCCCACCTGTCACCACCACCAAGGTGTCAGGGCCCCAGACCACGTCGTCCATGACCGCCTGGCAGGCATAAGCACCAGTGTCAGACAGCTGCAGGTGGCTCAGGGTGATGGTCAGGTTGTGCTGCAGCCCGGAGAAGGCAACGCGACCTCGGAAGCGCTCATCCACGGTGGGCGGCTTCTTGTCTTCATAGTAAATCACACTGGTGGGCTTCGGCAACCTTTGCTTCAGGAAGACCCCGGACAGGGACCCGCTTGTGGAGCAGGTGATGCTGATGGAGCCCCCCTCGGGGGCAATCGTGTAGGGGGGGAACTGCCGCACCTCTGCAGGAAGGACCCCTGCTGTCACCACAGCCTGGCCAGAGGGGTAGGGACCCTCCTCTCTCTGCAGGGGACGGTGGAGGGACAGAGGGGCCCTGGGACAGCCCCCTCTGGCCATGTCACCACAGGGAGGCATCTCACTGGATGCTGCTCCTGGGCACCAGCACCCCAGGGGCCGTGTGCGAACACTGATGGGGTCACGCGGGGGGCCAGCTGCCTGTGACCTCGCCCCACCCTGGGGCCCCGGGGAAGTTCAGGCTGCAGCTGGTTCTTCGCTGGGCAGCTCTGGCCACTTCTGCCCACCCTACACCTTCCCCCTCTCTTAACAGACTGCGCCCAAGATAGCCGGAGGGCCTGTGCTGTCTCCTCTCTCTTTCCATTGCTGGCTGCCTCAGTGTCCTCACATTTCCAGGCACCTAGAGCTGGTGGCTCTGTGCGGTGGGCACATCTGTGCTTGTCCGAGGGACACCCAGAAGTGTCCCTGTCTGCCTACCCAGGGCCCAGCTGGACCAGCTTCCTGGTGCAAACATGAACCTTTTTTATTATTATTTTATTTTATTTTTTATTTTATTTTATTTGTCAGAGAGAGAGCACAAGAAAGGGGAGCGGCAGGCAGAGGGAGAAGCAGGCCCCCCACTGAGCAGGGAGCCCGATGCGGGACTCTATCCCAGAACCCTGGGGCCATGACCTGAGCCGAAGGCAGATGCTTAACTCACTGAGCCACCCCGGCATCCCCATGAACCTTCCTTAATGTAATCCAAACATCAGCTTCTCAGCAAACTAAATTCTGGAGCTTCTTTTTTTTTTTTTTTTTTTTTTCTGCTGAGTCTCCCCACCTCACTGCACTGATATTTCCGTCTTATTGCAGAACTTTGCACATGTATCTGTTTTAAAAAGCAAACTTAAAGGACAACATTCTCGCATAACCAAGGCAACCTCGCTAATTATTGAAAAGAGAATCTCCAGACATTTAAGCAAAGAAAAAGACCAGAGCCGTGGTGATTCTGCACCCAGACGTCACTGACCGGGGGGGGGGGTTTGCTTTGTGGGGAGGTCACACTCAGCATCCCCAGACCACCCCCTTCCCAGGAAGGAGCATCCCCAGGTGGGGGCACAGAGCCCACTTTGGGGGAGCACAATGGGGACATGGGGAGGGCTTACCTTGGGTGGCCAGAGCCCTGAGTAGGGTACAGGCGAGTGTGAGGCGCACAGGGAGCCGTGGGAGCTCTGGGGCCATGCTCACCACCATCCTGCCCACCACAGACCCAGCGACAAGGGAAAGGCAGGGACCTCTCTCACGGCTGGCTGAGACTCTTCCTGTCTGCAGCACTTAATTGCGTGCCACCAGCTCGCAGGCACCGCCCCCAAACCCCCAGGCAACGATGCAAGGGCGGGAGGCGGTGACTGGTGGTCCAGGCACTCCAGGAGGGCTCCCTGGAGGCGGTGCCACGGGCAAGGCGAGGTGCTGAGGGCCAGGCTGGGAGGGGCAGTCCTCACCCCCTCCACACTGTCCTGCTGAGTGCCCAATGGGTGACCAGTTGTCCCGGTCCCCCACTCCTGCTGTGTCCCACAGGCCCGAGGTGGGGGGCAGGACCAGGAGAAAGCCAGGGGAGTCCTGGGTGGGGTGGGTTCAGGCTTCAGATGCCCTGGGTCCTCTGGGTCACTTCCTGCTGAACCTGATTTATGCCCAGAAATCTGGCCTACAATTCAGTGACCCCTACATTGTGGGGACGGGGCCTGGAGGGCGGGGAGGGCCCTGGAGGCGGGGGCGGGGCGGGGGCGGGGCCGCAGGAGGCCGGGGCGGAGCCTGGAGGGAGGGCGTTGAAAGGCCCCAGGACTCAATCTCCTTAGAGAAACCCTCGAAAATACAAGCAGCAAGGAGAAAATGAAAACAGTCAAAGACCCAGGCCCGGGACTTACCTGTAGGCCTGGGCCGAAGTCAAGGCACCAGGTAGGGCCTCCGGTCTGGGGCTCTCCGCAGTGAGGGAGGACCCCCCCCCGTTGGCATCTTTCGACGCCTTCTGCCTTTTTAGTGCTTTAAGACAGGAAGCAGCTTCTTTTGGTTTTTATGTTCTTCCCCACTTAAAAAATGTGTATTTATCAGGTCATTGGATGATTTCTTGGTTGATTTATTTTATTCATCGTAAGGATTGGGGTTATGGGTTTTCAGAGCACTGAATGTGTAGTTTAGAAAAAACCTGTGTGTCCCTCTTAAGAATCCATTTCATGGAGTTTCACAGTTGTGATTATGAAGACATCTGACAAAACAGGTTTGGGATGGGGAAGGGCGGGCAGGTGGGCAGGTGGGGGAAGGGAACCCTGGGGCTGGGAGGTCGGGGGTGGGGAGGGTTGTGTGGACACCTGACTGCCAGGTGCCACCTGTCCGCCTCCCTACGAGAGGGGCTCTGGTACCGCGCCCCCTCGTGGTGGGGGTGGGGCCGGCGCTCCACCCCAGGCCTCCATCCGCCGCAGCTTGACTCCAGGACTGCTGGCTGGAGGGATTGCCAAACTTGTTCTTGCCCAGTGCAAAGACAGGATGGCGCCCAAGACCAACTTCAGACCCACGCTGGGGCATCTCCAAGGGTACAACAGTGTGTGCCTTCCGCACCTGAGGCTGGAAGCCCAGACCCCTTGCCCTGATGGGGCAGAGAAGGGAGAGGTTCTTTGAGGTCAAATGTTTCGGAAGTTGAGATCCCCCCCCCTTTTTTTTAAAGATTTTTAATTTTTTTATTTGAGAGAGAGAGAGGGAGGGAGGAAGAGAGAGGGCATAAGCCAGGGGAGAGGCAGAGGGAGAGGGAGAAGCTGACTCCCCGCTGAGCAGGGCGCAATCCCAGGACCCTGGGATCATGCCCTGAGCCGAAGGCAGATGCTTAACCACTGAGTCACCGACTGAGCCATCCAGGCACCCCTGAGATTTTCCCATTTTTGACCACAGAGTCTGCTGAGGGGGAGTCGGGGAGCTGAGACACCTGCGGAAGGCTGAGGTGGGGAGGAGCCAGCCACTGGCCCGGGGTGGGATGGGGGGGAAGGCCGAGGAGAAGCAGCTGCCAGCCTGAGTCCCGTCCTCTCCCCCTGCCGGCCCCCCGCCCCGGGGTGGGCAGAGAGCTTGCTCCTTGGGCTGAAGGGCTGAGCAGGTCTCCGGTGCCAGCAGGCAGGGACAGGAGCTGCTTCTGTCTGCCACCGCTGCGTGGTTCCTGGGCATCTGTCAACCAGATGGAGGTGGGACACACGGGGCTCCACTCCTGGGGGGTGAGTGCGGGTGCTGGTGGCCTCAGAGTGGGGCAGGACTCCTGGAGTCGGTTCTGGGTTTCAGGCCTGTTTATCACCCTCCTCACAGGCCCTCCGTCTTCCAGCTCAGAGCCATCTCTCCTGAGGAGGGAGGGAAGGATGTGAGTCGTGCTAGAATCTGTGTGGGCTTAGGTCACGTGTGCTCACACACATGCAGACGTACCCACCGGGCCACACGTCCTAGGTCTCCCGGAAGGAGCAGGAAGTCCAGCCTCTCTGTGCTGCCCCCAGGGTGTCCTGGGACAAATGAGTGCTTTGGGGACCCAGTGGGCCTGACCAGGAGGGAGGCACCTGCCACAGCCAGCTGGGGTCCCCTGAGGGAGGGGCGCGTGCTCTCTGGGCCTGGGGTGACGCCCACCCCCACCAGCCCACAGACTAGGTGCAGGGCCTCATACCTGGGGCCCTGAGCACTTCTGGCGGGAATAGGGCAGGGGAACTCTGCCTCTGGTGTAGACTAACCCGATGACCACCAGGAAAACGAGGCTGGCAATGATGCTGATGACCACAGGGGCCACCCTGAACTGGTCTCCGGCCTTGGACGGGCATGGCGTCTCTGGGCCTGTGGGAAGCGGGGGGAGGGGGGACATCATTTGTTCACTCACGAGGAATCACTGCCTGCCTTGAGTGCACCCTTGAGGGAGACACCACCCCCAAGGGCAGGGGGCAGGGGGCAGTGTGCAGGATGGACAGGGATGTTGGCACGGAGGATGGGGACAGCCTGGGGGGACCTGAGGGGGCTTCCTGGGGATACCTGGGTGTAGGGTAAAAACACCTACTGTAGGGATGTGTGAAGAGCGGGTGTCCTCTCACCTTCAGGTCTTGGGACTCTGCCCCTGATGCAGGTGAGACCAGGTATCAGATGAGACCAGGGTACCAGGAGTCCACAGAGGGCTCGCTGGGTCCCTTCCCCGGGCCTGGCCAGGCTGGGGGCACCGTTCTCAGGCACCCCACAGCTCAGGAACTGGGTGGGGGGGGTGCCTGTGGGTTTGAGCAGTGTCCTGGAGGGGGTGTGGGGACAGGGAGCATTACTCCAAATGGAGGGAAAGTGAGGAACTGCTCACCTGAGGGGTCGGCAGGAGGTGGGGGGATGGGTGTGGATTGGTCAGAGGGGAGGCCCTGGTCTGTGGGACCACTGGGCTCTTCAGGTGGACAATGTCCAGGGCAAGGCTGGGGCAGCGGGGCCAGCTCGGGCTAGCTTGGGGCTGGCTGGAGAAACCGGGGGATCATGGGGCCTCTGAGTGAGGGCAGGAAGGCAGGACCTTCAGGGGCAGACCAAGCTCTGCAGGGGCCTCAGGGAGCACTGGGATTGCAGGTGGAATCCCACCCCAGAGGTAGTGAGTGGGAGGAGGTTTGGGATGGAACGGGAGAGAGGTGCATGGGCCTAGCCTCCTCGCCGGACAGGGCAGCCCCCCAGCCTGAACCCCCTTGGGGTACAGGTCCTTGGAGGAGCGGAGGCCTGTCTTGTTTCATTCTGCTTTGTTGGAACGCAGGCCTGCCCTCTGTGGGCCCCATCCAGCGGCCCTGAGCATTTCTGCACTTCTGCACTTCTGCAGGGGGAAGAGAACTGCTCCCGCCCCCCGCTGCCCCTCCCAGATAGGTAGGGTGGGGGGATGAAGGTGCTGCCCCTCACCTGACACGTTCAGTGTGGTGACTCTGATATTTCTCTGCAGACCTTGCAGATACCACTTGTAGGATCCTGCCTGGGTGTGGCTCGCGTCATTGATCACCAGCTGGGCCACGCTTCCCTGAACCTGGAGCCGCCAGCCTCCCTGGCAGAAGCATCCTGTGGGCCGCATGCTGAAGATGGGCTTGAAGTTCTTCCCATGGGAGCTCAGGTAGATGGCCACGCTGAGGAAGGGGTTGGAGATGTTGCAGGCCATCACGGCACGCTCCCCTCTGGACACGGAAACCACTCCTTCGGTGCAGATGGGGTTGTCCCATTCTGTGTGCAGGGGACGGGTCACACACGGGTCATGGCTGGGCCTCAGGACGTTCACTGACCACCCTCCCTGGGGCAGAGGGAGGGACGGTGACAAGGCAAGGCCCCCAGGGGCACACGGGCCCGGCTCAGGGTAGTGGAGAACACGGTGAGCTACATACACATCGATCAGACAAATCAGCACGTGTGCCTCGAGGGGGAAAACAACACAGAAATAAAAGGGGGAGGCTGTGTGCGCGTGCATGTACGCCCCCCGCGTGGCTGGTGTGGCCTGTCACTGTGTCTGGGCACATCCCCCAGAGCCCCCTTCCTCGCAGGTGGACTCTGGGGCAGAAGGAGGCACGTGCACGCTCTGCCCACTCACGTGAGTGTGGTTGAGTCTCGGCCGGGCCTGCAGCCGCCTCACCATCCCCAGGGTCCTGGGCCAGGTGTGCACATCCGGATCCACAAGGAAGGTCCCCGGCTCCTGCAGGACACCGACGCCCCCGGTGTCAGAGGCGAGCACGGACCCCCACGTCCCCTGCCGGCTGTGGAACCAGCCCCACCATCTTGGGAGGCCGAGTCCTGGAGCACATTCACCCGTTGCCAGACTCACTGCACGATCTGGGCGAACTCTGACGGCCGGGGACCTGGGGCGCCGGCACGCGGCAGCCGGCGCCCCACGCGATGCGAGCCAGCCGGCCCAGCCATCCTCCTGTCCTGCGGCAGTTGCCACCGGGGACTGGACACAGGCGGACAGACGCCAGAGAGCGGCAGGAGCTCTGGGCACACCGTGTGCTGGGTGAGCCCACTGTTCAGCGCATTTCACCAAGTCCACACAGCGTGGCAGGTGCACGTGTGGCCACGTGCCAGGGGCCCTGGATGCCCACGGGAGCGAGGGTGTGTTGAGGTGGAAGCTCTGCAGGCAGGCACGGGCCTAGCCCACCCGGAGTGTCGGGGGGCAGTGGGCTCCCCCCAGGCCACAGTCACAGCTGGTACCTTGTGAGCGCAGCCAGCGGGGCAGCTCAGCCGGCAGGCACGGGCCGGCGGGCGGCAGAGTGGAGAGGGAGAGCTCGATTCAGGGAGCCCGTGGGAGCCAGCAGGAAGCTCCCCGTGTCCCAGAAGGGGGCTACAGCGGGGCCAGTCAAGGCCCCATGGACGGAAGACCACCACATGCCTGTCCACAGCAGGAACTTGACCCGAGTCTCCCCACTGTCCCCCTCAGCCACTGGAGTGTTCGGTCTGAGGGGGGGGTTTAAAATGCCTTCTCTGCCGAGGTGGGCTATGTAGACAATAGAATACTACTCAGCCATCAGGAAGAATGAAGTCTTGCCACTTGCAACAATGTGGACGGAACCGGAGGGTATTATGCGAAGTGAAGTAAGTCAATCAGAGAAAGACAATTATATGATTTCACTCATATGTGAAATTTAAGAAACAAAACAGGAGCATAGGGGAAGAGAGGAAAAAATAAAACAAGATGAAACCAGAGAGGGAGACAAACCATAAGAGACTCAATCATAGGAGACAAACTGAGGGTTGCTGGCGGGGAGGGGAGGGGACATAGGGCCACTGGGTGACGGGCACTAAGGAGGGCACGTGATGTGATGAGCACTGGGTGTGGTATGAGACTGATGATGAATCCCGGACCTCTACCTCTGAAACCGGTAATACATTATATGTTAATTAATTGAATTTAAATAAAAAAATAAAATGCCTTCTCTGCATCTTTACAAAATCGTCAAAGTGCTGCATAAACACACACCTGTCATAAAAATTCAAACAACTCTAAAGCACCCCCGCTCCACCTATAGAGGGGCCGCTGGGTGGGGGACCCCAGGCCGGGACAGAGCCCTCCACCCTGGTTGCAGGAGCTGTCATCACACCCGTGCGGGGGCTGACTCGGGCTGTCAGAGCCCAGCAGAGGGCTGGAACCCTGGAGGGCTGGGCAGGAACCCCGGAGGGCCGGGATGGAACCCCAGAGGGCCAGGCTGGAACCCCGGAGGGCCGGGCAGGACTGCCCTCATCTGTCCAATGCCCAGGAGCGGGGCTCCAGGACGAGGGGCCTCTGCGGCTTACGGGTTTCCTGCCAATCCCAGACGTGCTAATAATCCGGCCTGGGGGTGCCCCACCGTGACCGCACCTGGGAACTGCTGGAGTAGTTACAGAAGCTCCCTCTGCCTGTGATTCTCTTCCACCGGTTTGGAGTGCGGCTGGGGACCGGCATGTTTGAGGAGCCCCTCAGGGGGCTGCCTGCACTGCCCTGACCTAGAGCCGTGTGCGTGGACTGGTCCTGATTCTGCAGGGCCGAGCGTGTCCCGAGAGTCTGCATTTCTAACAAGCTCCCAGGGGATGCTGGAGCTGCTGGCCCAAGGAGGGATCCGGTACCAGAGCGGAGACAGAGAATCCTCAGGCTTGTCCTGCTGCCCCTCCTCTGGCTACAGGACTTGTCACTGACTGGCCAGGACCCTCTTTCCCTTGGAACCTGGACACACTCTTGGCCACCCCCATGTTCTGACGGTCATCACTGAGCGCTGGAGCGGGTATCCCCGTCTGCCATCCATGGGGGAACTTGGCTCATCCCATCATGGCCCAGGGGTGCTGGGCCAGCCCCTCTCCTCAGGGCCATGGACGCCACCTGGGCCTGATGTGGATCTGCCCCTCCCACCCCTGCCTCGCCCTCCCCCACCCCCTCGATGGGCCCCCCAGTAGACAGGGTGGGATCCTGAGACTTACTTCCATTCTGAGCACTCAGGGAGGCGGCCAGGAGGATGGTCCAGAGCATCTGGGGCACCGAGAGGGAGCATGTCAAAGTCGGCATGGCCAGCAGGACAGGGAGGCCTCAGGGGTCCCGTGTCCTCCTCATTGGTTCTTGGGACCCTCTCTGGAGGAAGGAAAGCCACACGGTCAGAGGTCTCCTGGGCTGCAGCCTGGCCAGGGGCGGGCAGCAGTCCTGAGCTCCTCCCTGACCAGCTGTGCACGGATGCCAGAGCCCCCGCCCCGCCTCTTTCCTGCACTTTCTCTGTACCTTTATAATGTACACAGTGCTGGCCGCTGACAGACAGACAGACAGACAAGAAACACAGACAAGCCAGGAGGGAAGCCACTGGGAGAGGGACCTGCTGACAGTACCAGGATCATAATAAAATGTGCAAAACTGGCCTGAATTGTGCTCCTGTGGACACGGGTCATGCCCACTCGGGATCTGGCACCATCCCCAGACCTCCCCGCCCTCGCACTTTCCTTGGCTGGGGGACCCTGCTGCCTTTTGGGACCCCCTTAGGGGACACGCTCTTGTCAACAAAAGGAGCCCTCCTGGGGGACTCGCACAGCGGGCCTTCCGTCTCCTCCCACGCAAGCGCCCACTGCGGGCTTCCGAGACCCTCTTGGTCTCCATTAAATGTGACATTTTTTCTGATCAAACTATTGAAAAGTATTTTATTTTATATATTCATTTTTAAGATTTTATTTTTAAATCAACTCTGCACCCAGCGTGGGGCTCGAACTCACAACCCCGAGACCAAGAGTCCCGCGTTCCGACTGAGCTGGCCAGGCACCCCTATTCAAAAGTCTTTTAAAATTGCTTGCCAGACCATTGGTTGACCTTTTGATTGAAAAATAATAATAACAGACTTTTTGTTTTGTCTTTGAGCAGTTTTAGATTTACAGAATAATTGGGCAGAAAGTGCAGAGTTGATACGTGTGAGTGCTGTCGCGACTCACACATCACAATCCGTGGACACGTGGTCATTGCCTGAAGTCCCTACTTCGCATACTTCACGGCTCACTCGTGTGTTGAACACAAGGGGAGTTTGGACAAATGCATAATGACTTGCATCCATCATTATGTCCCCCACAGAGCTGTCCTAAAACCCTGGGCTCCACCTGCTCATCCCCTTCCCCTGACACCCGGCAACCCCTGGTGTTCCTCGTGTCTCCATAGTTCTGCCTTTTCCAGAATGTCATACGGTCGGGACTCTGGTTTTGAATTCAGGGGCGCCTGGGGGGCTTGGTCGGTTCAGCGACAGAACCTTGGTTTTGGCTCAGGTCATTCGGGGAGAATGGGGCACCAGGGAACTTTGAACTTAATGGCCCCCAGGCACGTGGGGCCACCAGTGACCAGGCCCAGTCCTGACCCCAGTAAGGGGAGTCGTGCTGGCAGGAATGACCCCCGCCCCACCAGGGCCACAGAGCACCCCCATTTTGTGCTGCTGCGTCGAGCTCCCCAGACCCCCGGGGGCCTGAGCAGGCGGGCCTGTCCTCCCATCTTGACCCCGTCAGCCAACCTGGGGGTTCCTGGCGGGTTTCCCGGTGGGGCCTTACGTGAAAACCCGCTGATCTGGGGGCCGCGGAGCAGCAAGGGAAGGCCCACCCTGCCCCGCACAATCTCACCATGAAAGAAAAATGGCCAGACCCAGCTTTTGAAAGAAACATCTAATTTGAGACGGGAAGAGAGTTTCAAGAATGTTAAATGCAAACCACCTGCGCTCCTGGCCTCCTGAGTGGCACAGCCCCAGGGGCTCTGGGTGGGCGCCACCCTCGGGGGGGGCGGGGAGGGGACCCTGGCATGGGTCGTGCACACGGGCCCAGGCCTGGCCCGAGCCGGCTTGTCCTCCCCAGAGACAGATAAGGAGGGCCAGACAGACGACGGCCAGGCTGATGGATGGAGGCTTTCCTTCCCTCTCAATCCACACGGGGCTCTGGGGTCCCGGGGTGGGTTGCATACAGGGTGTGGTGTGCCCACAGGTGTCCTGGTGCTCTGGGCTCCCGGGGGCGAGGAGCCGAGTGGCCCCTGTGTGCGTATGTGCCCTTCTCCCAAGGACCCTGACCCTGAGTCCCTGCGACCGAGGGTTTTGGCCAATGTGCTGTATGTGCCCGGCATCTTAGGAATGTTCTAGTAGCTGTGTTCCTAAATTTCACAAGTTAGGAGAAACTGCTGCCCACCCGCTGGGCAGTTGTCCGTCCATGGATGGATACCTGTTGAACGTAACAGTGCCCAGGGCCCAGAGCTGCTCGCTGCGGTCCTCGGGTGCCTTTCTTACCCCTGGTGCAGGCCAGGCCAGCGATCGGTGCCCAGGAGGCTCATGCCAAGCTCTGACCTGGACCCTGACATGCACCCAGGGCACGCCCCTTCCCAAGCCCCTGGGGAATCACTCCCTGGCTTTCCATTGCTTTTGCCCCTCTGTTCATTCCTAAAACCTAGAGAAGCTTGATTCAGTAGTTTCTTTTTTTATTTTTTTAAGATTTTATTTATTTGAGAGAGAGAGAGTGAGAGCGCACGAGCAGGGGGAGGGGCAGAGGGAGATGGAGAGAGAGAGAGAAGCGGACTGTGTGCTGAGCATGGAGCCACACTCGGGGCTCGATCCCACGACCCCGAGATCATGACCTGAGCCGAAACCAAGGGTCTGTCGCTGAACCGACCGAGCCCCCCAGGTGCCCCTGATTCAGTAGTTTCTGGTGGTATAACAGGCTACAGGGGCTGCTTCTGGTAGGTGGGGCTCCCTTTGCAATCTTGCCAGGCCCAGCCCCGGGACAATGGGGGTGTAACTCACTGAGTCACACAGGCCTCACCAGGCGTGGCCACATTCCAGGAGGGCCCGGGGTGGGGGCTGGTGCTGCTGTCTCCCCACTTCCTTTGCTTGACTTTTCTTCCCCACCTTTTTTTTTTTTTTAAGATTTTATTTATTTATTTGACAGAGAGAGACACAGCGAGAGAGGGAACACAAGCAGGGGGAGTGCGAGAGGGAGAAGCAGGCTCCCCGATGAGCAGGGAGCCCGATGTGGGGCTCGATCCCAGGACCCTGGGATCACGACCTGAGCCAAAGGCAGACGCTTAATGACCGAGCCACCCAGGTGCCCCCCAAAATAAAATCTTTAAAAAAAGATAACTGTCCTAATGGGTGTGAAGCGGTGTCTCATAGTTTTTTTTGTTTTTTGTTTTTTTTAAGATTTTATTTATTTATTTGAGAGAGAGAATGAGAGAGAGAGAGCATGAGAAGGGGGAGGGTCAGAGGGAGAAGCAGACTCCCCGCCGAGCAGGGATCCCGACGCGGGACTCGATCCTGGGACTCCAGGATCATGACCTGAACCGAAGGTAGTCGCTTAACCAACTGAGCCAACCAGGCGCGCCCCCCCCCTTTTTTTTTTGAAGTAGGTCGTATGCCCTGTGTGGAGCACAACACGGGGCTTGAACTCACGACCCTGAGATCAAGATCTGAGCTGAGATCAAGCGTCGGATGCTCCACCGACTGAGCCCCTCAGGCACCCCTTTGCTTGATTTTTCTAAACTTGTTTGTAGTTCGAACGTAAGGCAAGAAGGACAGTTTTTCTTCTCAGTATACATGCACCACACTTGGAAAAGCAACAGAGAGAAGCTGAGGAAGAAAGAACCGTCAGAAAGATGCCCTCCCCCGCAGAAGCTGGGGCTGCTCTGTGCCCGGCTCTCAGGGGTCTCCCTGCGCCCAGACACGAAGCCTATTCGATGAGATCCTTCATCACAGATACCCCGCCCCAATCCTCCCTCCCTCTCCCTCCATACCGTGTGTATGGGGTGAATGGCGGCCCCCAAAAGACACGCCCACCCACAGCCTGCGAACGGGACCTCGTTTGGAGAGAGGGTCTTTGCGTCCCTAATTACTTAGGACAAGATTGTATCGGAGTAGGGTGGGCTCTGACTCCAACACGACTAGTGTCCTTAGAGGAAGAGGGAAATCTGGACAGAGACAGAGACACACCGGGAGAACGCCGCAGGACGAGGCGGACAGAGACTGGGGTGTGGCCACCAGAAGCTGGAAGACACAAGGATCCTCTCTTAGAGCCCAGGAGGGCGCGCGGCCCCGCCCACACCTTGATTTTGGGCTCCCGGTCTCCACCACTGTGAGAAAACAGACATCTGTTGTTTTGAACCCCCAGTTTGTGGTCCTTTGTCACAGCCACCCCAGGACGCACACACGACCCCCTGCCCCTGAGCCTACAGCTGCATGCACCCCAGTGACCGAGTGACTCCAGCTTTCTCCGGACCCAGACAATCACGCGCAAGCCCCGGGCGTGGAGGGAGCGTTCAGGGTCCTGTTACCTTACTCTGCATCTGGGTCTCACCTTGCCGTGCCCTTTGGGGGAGGCCTAACCCCCCACTCCCCGGGGCTTGCACCCTGATGAGGGCCGCCCCCCAGCGCCGCCCTCCCCCCAGGCCTGTCCCTATGGCCCCGACAGGGCCTGGTGCCTCGGGATGGCCATCTCACCCTGGCCCCCGCCCTTTGGGTGTCCATGTTGCCGTGGCCCTTGCAGACTCGGCCTACTTTTCTCGGGTTGTCTGTCTTCTCCTTATGGGTTTGTAAGACTTATGTTTTAGAGAGATAAACTGTTATCCGCGAGGCAAACGTGCTCCTACTCCATCGTTTCTCCTTGGATTGTTTCTGGAATAACAAGACTACCTGTTTATGTCATCCTGTGTTTTCCTTGAAAGCTTCAAGGTTTCATTTAAGTAAAGTGTTGTTTGTTGTTTGAGGTGTCCTTTTGCAGGAGCCTCCCAGACCGTGGGGAATCCACGGACCACCAAACTGGATTTCCACATTCGAATCATGAATCACCTCAAAGCCATTTTGCAAGGGCCGCGTGACAGGGTCCAACGCTGCTTTCTTCCAAGAAAGTGGGCTGTGCCCAAGGCATCCCGAGAGTGGTACACCCCGTCCCCTCCATTCCACCTCTGCCTGTGGGCGACTTGCCCAGGACGCTGCCAACCCCAAAGTTTCCAGTAGCTTTTTCGGCTGTGTTCATCCTGGGAAGGCAGGTTCTCTCCTCTGCTCTGTTTATCTTTCCTTACAGGTTTGTTTCTCCACGAGAATATTATTAACATAACTGAAATCAATTTTCTTCTTAGAACCA